TAATTTCAATATTTTTGATATTTTTTCCCATAATCTTTTTGAATCCGAACATTCTAAAATTAAATGTTCAATATATTCTGCTTGTCCACAACTTGTACAATTTTTCCCCAGCTCTTTATTCCATTTACTTACATTATAATTACAATTCATCTAGTTATGTAAAAGTTTAAAATTGAATTCTGCTATCTGTTTATTAAATACATTTACTATCTTAGCTGTATAAATATTTTTCCATTAACCATTTGTTATACTGAATTCTTTTGACCACTTCGTTCCCATTATTGGCTTTTTCTTCGTTTTAGAAAGTAGAATTTTATAATAAAATCCTGATTTTTCAAATTCTGGGTTTCTACTTTTTCCTTGAAAATAAGAATAGGGTTTTTGTATATTAGTGTTATTTACATTACAGTAATCTATATTTAGCTTTTTAATTGCTTTTTTCATTATTAGATATTCACATAAGTAATTACTCTTTGATTCAATGATCTCTTTTACATTCGTGAATAAATGGAGTTAATCATCTAGAGCCCAGGATACATTAGAACTGCAGTGCCGAGACTTTGTTTACAAATCTATGAAAAATGTCGCGTTCGGTTTGACCGAATATGGTGATCCAAAATAATAGGTAAGATTAAATAAACATCTCTATGTGGGTTGAGTTAAATGTAACTAGCATAAATTAAATTTCAGACATGCATTTCAGGAAGAAAAAAAAGTGTCAATGAGAGCGTGGAAATTTATTTGATAGGAAAAATCGCTATTTTCGAGATTCTTTCCATTAATATCAAATCTAAATAAAATTGAAATAAATTCCACATACTAAAGAAATCAAGAATGCTTGGTATTAAAATATCGTATTAGAGCAGGAGAATCGAATGCTTTTAATAACAACTGAAGAAATAGGCTATAAAAGCTTAAATTCATTTTTATGCCCATCAGCACCTAAATTTCAGATAGAAAAAACAAGAGGCCCAAGGGCCTTAACGGTCACCTGCGTATAATACAACAATTTAGAGGATGCATAGAGTATAAAATGAATTGAAAGGTGAAGCTTTGTTGCCCAAAAGCAAGAAAAATAGGGTGATCAGGATCAACAAATTAGTCTAGTATTCATTAACAGTTCATAAATTGGGTTCTAATCTGTTCCCCATTTATCACTCTCACCAGACAGTATATAAACAAACAATCAGTGCTTCTGTACTCATTTATTCCTTGTTGGAATCTCTTACATTGGCCCCTTGGTCTTCGATGAACATTTAATAAGACAAGTTATTTTTGTCTCATTTTTATTTATCTATTACTTACAAGTCTACCTGATCATTAAAACTATGAAAGTACTTTTTGTATTATACAATATAAATTCTTGCATAATTCTCTTATTCTATTAACCTTTCAAGTACATTATTTACAGTGAATTATCACAAGTAAATGGCAAAGGGGAATACCGGTAACTCCTCTCAGTAGAATACAAATTAATAAAGCCCTGGCCAGGACCAGAACACTTGACCAAATGGTCCTGATGTTCAAAAATCTGGAAAAAATACCCCTCCTTATTAAGACTTTTACTCTTTTTGCCTCTGATATGCCCAGGTGCAGAGAAGATTTTTAAAGCATTAATGCATTTTCACTATATATAATAAATAGTGCCCCACCCTAAAATCAGAACCTCTGATCCACGGGTCATGAAATTCACAATTTTGGAAGAGGCATCCTTGCTTATCATAACCATGTATTTGTTTAAATAATACCCAGGAGAAGAGAAGAAAATTTTCAAAGAAATAATGCACTTTCACTATATGATCTATATAGCCCCGCCCTAGCACCAGAACCCCTGACCCTGGGGCTATGAATTTCACAATGTTGGTAGAGTCACTCTTGCTTATCATAACTATGTATTCAATTTGTTTCAATAATACCCAGGAGTAGAGAAGAAGATTTTCAAAGAAATAATGCACTTTCACTATATGATCTATAAAGCCCTGCCCTAGCAACAGAACCCTTGACCCTGGGGCTATGGATTTCACAATTTTGGTAGTCACTCTTGCTTATCATAACTATGTATTCAATTTGTTTAAGTAATACCCAGGAGTAGAGAAGAAGATTTTCAAAGAAATAATGCACTTTCACTATATGATCTATATAGCCCCGCCCTAGCACCAGAACCCCTGACCCTGGGGCCATGAATTTCACAATTTTGGTAGAGGGCTCAATGCTTATTACAATCATGTCTACAGTTTGACTGCTTGATGTCCAGGAGTAAAGAAGAAGATTTTTAAAGATTGCATTCATTTTGATGGTTTTGGCCCCACCCCTCAGGCCTCAGGGGGGCAGGGGCCACGAATTTCACAATTTTTGTTCCCCTTCACCCATAGATGCTATATGCCAAAATTGGTTGAAAATAGTGTGCTGGTTCCAGAGAAGAAGCTGAAAATGGTGAAAAGTTTACGATCGACGAACAACGGACAACGCACGACGACGGACGAAAAGAGATAGCAATAGGTCACCTGAGTGACTCAGGTGAGCTAAAAAGTATTTGCCGATAAAATTCATAATTTCGTTACACTCCAGAGACTCACCGTAAAACTTTCAGGAAACTTTCTTTGAGGTCTTTTCTGCAGTTGTTTAACATCTTATGTCGATCCGAGGTGTTGTATGATTTTTAGAGAAATTTTCTACGTTGCTATTGATTTTTTTTTCTTAAAAAGGGGGGGGGGAGGGGATTATTTATCTATTCATTACTAACATTTTTTTAACCAAGAGTTGTAGCAACCTCCACGAACTTAATCGTGATTGTGACTTTGGGTCAAGGGTCAAGGTCAAAAGTCAAGGTCATTTAGAAAAAAAACCTTTGCTTTAAACTGAGTTCAACACTGAAATGTACATGAATCTAGATGCCTGTTATGAATTTTTTTTACCCTTGAGTCAGTGTCAAGGTCAAGGGTTAAAGGTCAAGGTCAAAGTTCAAAGGTCAAGGTAATTTAGATAAATAGCTTATATCAACATTTAAATATAGTTTTCAATGACCTTGACCTTTGACTTGACTTACATTTCGAGGTCAAAGGTCAAACATGCCCATGCAGTTGGTTCCATGTCACTAGGATGCATCCTTTGAAAGAAAAGGTCATTAAATGTAAGCAGCCAAAACTTTCAGGAACAGTAACTCATAGAAGGGGCTTTCGCAATGCATAGATTGAAGAGTGTACTAAATGAGTCAAAGACACTGATGAAGGTATGGTTTACGGTTTCAGAGGAGTAGCGATAACAAGGTTTTATTGCCAAAGGGGTGACAACTTTTGAATGGGTCAAGCTTGGGGGACAAGAATGAAATCTTTATAATAGTTTTAGAAGGACATATTATAGATGCAAAGATATTTAGTATATATCGAAAGACAAAAGAGATATTTAAAAAGCTAATTTTCTCATATTTTGAATGACCTTGACCTTTGACCTCTATATAAATTTCAAGGCCAAAGGTTCAGATATCCAAGGCCATTCGTCCCATGTCTCTACGATTAACTGTTTTAAATTTTTTTAAACTATTCGTAAACTCCAAAAACTTTCAGGGACAGTAACTCATAGAAAGGGCCGTAGAATCCTTTTGCACTGCATAGATTGAAGAGTGTACTAAATGAGTCGAAGACACTGATGAAGGTTTGGAATCTCTATGGTTTACAGTTTCGGAGGAGTAGGGATAACAAGGTTTTATTGCGAAAGGGGTTATAACTCCTCGAGGGGTCGAAGTTCATAAACGCAGGGTCAACTGCAAAAATCTTTTACGAAGTACATTCTCATGGACTATAAATCTTTTCGCTAAATCTTGAAACTCAAAAACACATTTGGCGGAAAAATAATAATAATAAACAGAACAATTTCGATAGGTCTTTCCACAGAAAGGTGGAAAAGACCTAATTATGCAACCAGCCTTTCAGTAAACATTTCAATAGGTAAAAAATGTTTGGCCAGTCCCTCACCCCCCCCCCCCCCCCTTCGATACTACATGCCTGTTAATAAAAAATTTCCCATTTTCATTGAAAGTTTTAGTGTAAATTTCAGTACCATGACTAAGCCTACTGTAAGGCTGGACGTCATCAGAAAGTGTAAAACCCATTACAATGTAATGCTAGTTAGATAGTCACTTATTTTCCTAGGGTCAGATTGTGGTGATTTGAGGAAAAATTATCGGTTTTTGGAGATATGATTACATAGTTGAAGAGGTGTTTAGTTGTGATACATGTATATTCAAAATTTCACATTTCGTTGAGGACATAAATTTGGGAGTCTTTTCATCAGTTGTTCATATCACAAAATCAACAAAAAAATAAACCCCTTCGAAAATTAGTGATTTCACAGTATAAAATACCATTTTTTAAAGGGTAATATAGTAAAATAATTAAATTATTCAAAAATCTGTAATGACTGATTTGTCTTAAATGTACAAAGTTTGTCTACCCCTTCTTTAGCTGCAAAACTTTTATTTCATCATTCAAAATTTTGCAGGAAATTGCCTTTCAGTACTTTTTTTTTGCCAAAAAGCATATTGAAAATTCTTATAATGAAAATTGAGCACAATCTGAAGATCTCACAACAAAGTCTTATCTTTGACAACCAATATCATCTCATTTGCATGGGGCAACAAAAAAAAAAAAACAATGAAGAAATAGAAGTAAAATCATTTTCAAAATTGTGTCTAAAGAGTGGGTTAAAATTATATTCAATCTAGTTTTAATATTCCCTCACAACAAAGGAACACGCTTGTGTGTGTGTGGGTGAGTGAGTGTGCATGTGCATAACAGAAGTGTTACGCAAGATATAATTTACATCCGGATCGATGTGCTCTTTATGAGGGGATGTTCCGCTTTGCAGTGCCCTTGTTAAGCTAAGACCATCATATTACAAAAAACTAATGCAATAACAATGCAGTTATATGCAAACTAATATATGAAAACTGTTAATCACCTTTTATTAGCGAGAATTTTATTTCAGAATAATTATGAGAGACCTTTTGCTTGCAAAATTAATTTTTTATTCTCCCACATATTTTTTTGTCAAGATTATACACAACAATGACCAGAATTCATCAAAATTTCAATTCCCTTATAAATACCAAATAGCTATCTCGTGGAGATCAGGAGTCACGAAAATTCAATGATCTACAGTTTTCAGTGTCATAGTCACTGAGAATATCATGTACATGTATATTCAAATACTGCTATAACTGTGGTACTTCAAATAAGAAAAAGACTAAAAAAAAATGTAAAAAAGGAATCAAAAGTAACCCAAGAAAGTTAAACCATATAAAACATTTAATGTTCTTTGATCAATTAAGTACTCAAAAAGAAAGGCCCATGGGCCACATCACTCACCTGAGCACTTTTGGTTAGGGAAATACAGAAATCAGTTCAGTATAGAAAAGATTAAATATACAGTGTATATATGGTCCCAACCTACCCCAAAGGGAGTGGGGGCATGATTAGAACAAACTTAAATCTTCACTGAGGGTGCTTCCATAATTCTTTGACTAATCATGGCTTTAAGATTTTTTGAGACTTTGTTGTTCTTGAGAAGAATATTTTTTTTTTTTTAGATATTTCCCATATATTCCTATGTATCACTTTGATCCTCTATTGTGGCCCCATCTTATAATTAACCCAGAGGGTCATGATTTGAACAATCTTGAATCTACACTATCTGAGAATATGTCTGTATTAATATGACTAATCATGGCTTTGCTGTTCTTGAGAAGAAGATTTTAAGAGATTTTTCCTATATATTCTTAAGCATAAATTTGATCCCCTGTTGTGGCCTCATCCTATCCCCGGGGATCATGTTTTGAACTATCGTGAATCTACACTATGTTTTGAAGCTTTCACATAACTTTCAATTTTCTGGCCCAGTGGTTATTGAGAAGAAGATTTTTTTAAAAATGCCATTAAATTTTTACCTATTCTTAATTAAAAAGGACAGAGCCCTTCCTATGTACAGATTTAAATCCTCTTCACCCAAAGATACTTAGTAGCAAGTTTACTTGAAATTGTCCTGGTGGTTCTGGAGAAGAAGTCAACAATGTGAAAAGTTTACATACAACACATATCAGACAGACAAATAAATGGATGCCAGACACTTTTTGATCAGGAAATCTCACTTGAGCCTTTGTCTGAGGTGATCTAACACTACAATGAACTGACTTATCTATCACTGTTACATGAATTCTATCTGAGGACAAAAACTCAATATCTTACAGTAGCTTACAGCTTAACAAATCTCATGTAAACAGTGGAGAGAAAAAAGTGTTACACATTTACGGTCAAACCAGTATATTTCCACTGATTTTACTGGGAGGGGGACATAATATCACCAATATCAAGAGTTCTGTAAACTCCTCGTGAACAAAAGCTGAACATTTGATTTAGCATTGATCTGGTTCCCATTTATCTGGGGTCCGTCTCCATCACCAATCTCTTTATTCTCCATGAGGACCAAGTTAATGTCAGAATTTATGTTTTCTTCTGGATTACTCAACGTCTGGTCCTGCCAACAAACAGCAAAAAGTTCCTCTTAATAAGATTTGTCAAAGGCACATGGATATATCAAGTGGTACACAAGGAAATACTGTAAACCAATTTTTATTTGTCTAGGAGAAATATCTGCAAGTTTTGCGATCCAATTCTTTTACACACAAATATACTTTTTTTGCAACAATCCATTCATTTTATGATTGTGTATATCTGTAGAATGTTTCATCAGTTATGAATATTAATGGTCAGAAATTGATTCATAATATAATCTACAAATCACAAATAAAAGCTGTCGAAAAACATCATTGGTGAACACTATAAAAAAATATCATATTCAAAGAATGACAAATGAATAAAAAGTAAAAACTATCAGAAAAAATGCACGGTAAGCTGCATTACAGATTTGTTTTTAAATTTCTTGAAGAATTTCATTAATGAAGGCAATAAGACTTTGACTTTAACACCTATTTAATATTTTCAATTTCTATTAAAAAAAAACTTTTACTTAGCTTTTACATTTACAATTAAAAGAAAAAAATAGAAAATTTTATCTTTGTGTGTATTTTTTACCTATTCTGAGTAATGATGTATCTGTTTGCCTCATGAGATATAGAAAAAAAAAATTCAAGCAGAAAGAAAATCATCAAAAGCAATATGGTATTAAAAAAAGATGCTTAGTGGGTAAATATTTTCAAGCAACATATTCAAAATCTTCATTTTAAATGGCTCATAAGGAGATATTGTTTTTAATAAAGTCTTGCAGAAACAGCCCTTGTACACTTTTATATACATACATGTTTTCAATAGAAGGTCAACAATATACAGCTGCACTTTGATATCTCGAACCAGATATCTCAAGTATCTTGGATATGTTGAAGAGATCTGGAAGTAATAATTACTTATTCTTGGAGTATTTTACCTTCAATATCTCAAATCCTCAGATATCTCAGAGTTTGTTGTGATCCCATTGAGTTTGAGATAACAAGGTTTGACACACCAAGGAGGCAGTCTACATATTTGTACCATGAATTATCTCCCTTTACCTCATCATGTCTTGTGCCACAACAGCATTTCTTCCTCCAGGAATCCGGTAGACAACAACACAACCAATCACAGACAGGTATTAGGTATTTCGGGTCTACCTCCTCTTTTTTCATTGGACCTGAGAAAAAAATAAATTATACACTGTCAGTAATCTCTAAGAATGGGTTTGCTCACAGCAATTTTGTAACAAATTATTTTCAAAGGAATATCAGATCACTGGACTGCATACAATGAATCTATCAATTCCCACAACACAAGTACATGTACAGGGGTAATTTAATTTATCCACATTCGATTAACATTAAGAAAAAATCTGTTACAATAATTTCTAAGTCCACCCAAGGACAACATTTTTTGATAATATTTGATATACTTACCAGTGACAACACTGACACATAGTCCAACAAAGACGGCTATAAATAGTCCCAGAGTAGAGTACCACAGGTATGAGAGGGAGTAGAGATCGTGGAGAGCTGACCTACTTAACAAACAAAATAGGACAATAAAAAGAGATTATGGAGAGTTGATCTACAAAACAAAGAAACAAAAATAAAATTAGGACAAGAGAACATGTACACCTGACCTATATAACAAAGAAATAAAAATAGGTCAATTTTTTCAAATAACCAGTTTATGCCAAAAGAACATTATTGTTGTAACTGTAAAGTATTTATTAATAATATATCAATGTTGTTTCCAGTCTCTTTAGCTTGTCAAGCACACTGTTTTTATCTTTCACTAACTTCTCTTCAATTTCATTTTGAATGATTGCTCTGCAGTTTACATTTTTTTTTATTCTTTTTGAAAACAAGATATTATTGTGAAACACTGATGCCCCCGTATGGCAACTTATAACGAAGGTTAAACTTTCTTAAATGCAAATCAAATATGTTGGTACCCAAAGTAAGGTCTTGTTGTGAGGAATATGCCTGTGTAATATGAAAGTCCTAGCAGCAACCATTGAAAAGATATGGAAAAGGTTAAAGTTTTTCAAAAGCAAGTCAAACATCAAGGTCAGATGTATTAAATTAATGGTTCCCAAGAAAAGGCCTTCTCACAAGAAATACACATGTGAAATATGAAAACCCTAGCACCAACCATACAAAAGATATGGCCAAGGTTAAAGTTTTTCAAAAGTAGGTCAAACTCCAAGGTCAAGGTGAAAGGGTCAAAGTTGCTGGTATCAAAAGGAAGGTCTTGTCACAAGGATTACATATGTGAAGTATGAAAGCCCTAGCACTAACTGCTCAAAAGTAATGGCCATGGTTAAAGTTTTCCAAAATTAGGTCAAACTCCAAGGTAAGGGTTATTGGGCTATAATTGTTGGTATCTAAAGGAATGTCTTGTCACAAGTAATACACATGTGAATAAATGAAAGCCCTAGCACCAACTGTCCAAAAGATATGGCCAATATAGAAGTTTTTCAAAAGTGGGTCAAACTCCTAGGTCAAGGTCAAAGGGTTAAATTTGTTGGTATCCAAAGAAGGGTACTGTCACAAGGATTACACATGTGAAGTATGAAAGCCCCAGCTCCAACTAAACAAAAGTTATGGCCAATATAGAAGTTTTTCAAAAGTAGGTCAAACTCCCAGGTCAAGGTCAAACGGTCAAATTTGTTGGTATCCAAAGGAAGGTCTTGTCACATGGATTACACATGTGAAATATGAAAGCCCTACTATGAACCATTAAAATTTTGTAAAACTGGGTCAAACTCCTAGGTCAAGGTCAAAGGGTCAAATTTGTTGGTATCCAAAAGGAAAGTCTTGTCATATGGATTACACATGTGAAATATGAAAGCCCTAGCATCAACTGTTAAAATTTTGTAAAACTGGGTCAAACTCCAAGGTCAAGTTCAAAAGGTCAAATATGATAGTACTTAAAGAAAGGTCTTGTCACAAAGTTATATCTCCAACCAATCAAAAGTTATGAGCAATGTTAAAGATTTTGCAGAAAAACAGACAAACAGATAAACAGACAAACAGCTAAACAGACAGACGGATGGACAGGGCAAAAACTATATACCCCGGAATCTTCGATACGGGGGCATAGAAATGTGAAAACTGAAAATGCACTTAAATGCTCATTGTCAGATACCCACAGATGATCTCATCTCTTCGTGGGCAAACTCACTGAAATAATGCTGTATGAAATAAATGTGCACAGATCATTTGATTGGTTGCTACACAGAGCTATGACAAATCAACGAATCAAATTTTACATCATATATGTATGTTTAGCAATGATAAAACTTTTCCATAGTTACACACCAATTGTGTACAAATCCACTCACCAGTGCATTCACACTTTGAGGAAGGTACTCCAGACCTATATTATTCTTGACTGGAATTTGATGCCAGTGCGAGACCTGTACAACTTGTCTTCACTTATTTACAGGCACCATCATACTAGCATAAATAAGCAAACTAAAAAACATATTTTCAAAAGAATTCCAACTTTCTGATTGGTTGTCTGTAATGGAAGTACTAGTATTTGCATACTTAACAACAATATTTCAGCGATGAGTAAAAGTCGAGATCATCCATGGGTATCTGATGATGTTAAATGCTAAACTTTGTGCACTGAGAACTCACCTTTCTTTGGCCACTTCAGCTGCATGTGTTGTAATGTCAATGGAGATATTGGTCAGTACCATAGACTGGTTAATATGAGGGATGGAGTAATTGAGCATATTTAAATTCACTGAAGTCATGGGGGTCGTAAGGTTAAGGTTGGCAGCACAGGTTTCTGTAGGAAAGTCCAGCTTCTCTTTCACCCCTATAACACTGTACTTTGCTATACCAATCCACATCATCACAGCATAGGATACAAGTGGTCCCACCATAGCTCCCTGTAAAAATTTATATGATAATTTTTCCTTGGTGAGGGAGGGTTGGTGTGGAGGGTTGGGGGGTCAGACTTTATAGCTGTAATATAAATTTGTCTGTAATTTGTACTTTGGGTTGGGGATTACATGACAGATTATACTTCTGTCAATTTATTACTGTCAAAGGGCATTGTTACATGCATTTACTCATCTAAGAAAAGTAAAAGAAAAGAAAACACTCTTTTTTAACTTTTTACTCCCCAACTCCCATGCAACATAGAAAATCTATCTGAATAAATTATGACAAAACACTGACTGTGTATGTCAGCATGGTAAAGAAGTTAGATGTTAACTGGCCTTGCAGTTGTGAATCATAAAATATTAACACCATTACAAATAACTTAAATTCGAAAATTTTCTTGCATTTTTTTTTTTGGCTATCATAAATGGACTTCCCAATATTGATTTAATTAAATTCAATAAAAAAAAAAATCATGAAAGATTTAAAAACTTACAATCCAGTTACATGAAGGGAAAAATGCCCCTAACACGACAAATCCATTCAATGCTCCACTGGCTGCACCCATAAAACTAAGAGAGACCTAAAAGAAAAAGAAATCTTAGTGATTTTCTTCATACACAATTATATTCAAATTTATAATACATTATCACACAGAACAATCCTTAAACAATAAATGGTCCCGACTGCTAGAACTTTTAAAAAGAAGATGAAGATCATTATGAGGCCCCTACCAGTGAAACCCGAGGAGACTACAGGTTGCCTCCTATTCTGTCTGTCTGTCTGTCCATCTGTCTAACTGTCCATCTGTCTTTCAGTATGTCTCACTTGGTTTTCCGCTAAATGCTTGCAGATATTAAGCTGATTTTCTTGTATGGGAGTGTACCTTCACATTTACTAATCAACTTTAAATTTCATTTGGCTTCCTTGATTTTTGATGGAATTACAGCCTTTCTAATTTTTAAGGGGAACCAGATTACACTTGCTGGTAGGGGACTAGTATTACTTAATGCAATACTCTCAGAATGCTTGCTTTACTTTCCCATATGTTTAAAATGCAGAGTATCTACGGCAATTAATTCCAAATAAATAGTGGCCTTGTTATTCAAATAAATATATGTACATATATTTTCCTTCATATTTTTCCACAATAATAGAAAACTCAATTTAATGCCTTAGAATTTGTCGTCTTGTGTCCACACTGCATGGGTTTTTATATATTGAATGGAATAAAATTTCAGATATGACCTTCACCTCTACGGTTTGGAAAAAAATAATAAGCCTTGACATCTAAACTCACAAATTCATTACTTGGTTTTCCTTGTTTACGAGACTTTACCTGTAAAACAGTTCCTCCTAGCTTCCTCACAGCAAATGAAACTCCTAAACCGAGAATCCCAAACAAAATCACTGAAAAATAAACAGTACTCTACTTGTATCAACAAACAACAGTTTATCATATTCTTATTCATATTCATACAAGTTAACAAACAAAAGGATGCCCTTCAAGAAATAAAAAACCAAAAAAGAGGACACATTCTTTAAAATCATACTACAAAAGAAATTACCTAACATTCGGGTTATCCACGCATGGACAATCTCTGATTTATTTTTGACGTGAGGTTTTATGATGTCCTCCCATGTTGTGGCAACCTGTGAGCTTAGATTGGATGAAACAGAGCTGTAATATAAAAGGAAATCTTTTTTGGACTAAGAAAATTTTTTTATCATCTTGGTATAAACTGAAAGAATAATTATGCTTTTATCTTTAGAAAAGCAATCTTTTTTCGGAATCAAAATGAATCTTTCTCCTTGATTGTTAATAAAAAAGCGAAATTATCATTCTGACCTTAATGCACCACTAAAGAGACCAGCTATGAATAAACCAGGCACCCCTGGGACATGCAGCATTTGAATCACAAAGAGTGGAATGATCTAAAGTATAAAGAAAAGCAATTACAATTTAAAATAAAAAATTAAAATAAAAAATACATTTTGTTTTTCATCTAAGTGTGCTGAAGAATTCTAAAGATTTTTCCAAACTGGCAAAACACTTTCACTGCATGAAGATTTGCAAAAAAATTATGATCACAGTCATAGCATCTTACTTGATAATAAAACTGTAAACCACTTTTAATTTGCGAGAACTTTATTTTCGCGTAATTACACAAGACCGTCTGTTCGCGAAAATTTTGTTCTAACATAAATTTTATAAGCATAGCTTATATACAACAATAACAAGAATTTGGGAAAATTTTGTCCTGCTCATAATTACCAAGTACCTATCTTGCGAAAATAAGGTGTCAAAAAAATTTGGTGATCTACAGTACTGAATTTAATATTGACCTGATTTGAGCTTTTGATTTCTTTATTTGTATATGGATCACATCCTTTCATTGCGTAGAAGGCAAACACAGATATCCCAGCCAAACAGGCAGTCGTCACCATGATGAATAGTCCCACACAGTTCAGCAAGACAGCACTACAATAAAATTCATCATTGTATGATTTTTCCAGGCCTGGCAGATGGTAGTACATGGTTATTAAACTTTTATTACAGTCAAATTTCAACATCTCTAAACCTAAAGGGGGTTGAGAAAAACTTTCTAGATATCTGAGGATTTGAGATATTAAGGTAAAAATTCAGGAAGTAAAAGTGTTGGCTTTTCCAACTCAATTTAATATATTTTATAATTTTATACAGTCAAACCTCATCATCTCAAACTCAATTGGGCCAAGAAAAACTTCAACATATCTGAGGATTCGAAATATCAAGGTCAAATTACAAAGAAAAAGAGAAATTGAGACTTCAACTCACTTCAACCTATCCATGGTATTCCAGATATCAGTGTTTGAGATATTGAAGTTCAACTGTACATGGTATTTATTTAAAGATATCAGTGTTTGAGATACAAATGTTCAACTATACATTCCAGCTAAATGAGGTACCGTACTTACATTTTTGCCTCCCTGAGTGAGGCCAGGGCACTAAATCTCTGTATGCTCTGTTGACTAGCTCCAAAGGTCCCCACCCAGTTGATCATACCTCCAATTGTTAATGCCCAGAATGTGTGTCGAACCGTTGGATCAAAATCAAAGCTGAAAAAAAATTCATCAATTTTAACATCAACTAGAAATATGGGCTGAAAATGGTGATTGAGGTTATTTGACCCACTGATAACAGGGTTGCAAATAACCACTTGCCCACTGCTAAATCAATGCGAAAAATTTTGTCTGTGGGCGAGCAAATCTTCAAGTATGTTATCACCCACATGGCAAGTTATGAATTTTATTGGAATTTTTCTGGACATGGACCGTGGTTTAATTCTTCTACTATGAAAGGCACTATTTCCTACCTTTAAAACGTTCTCTGAACACTGAATCACATCAACTTCCATTATTTGTATGCAAGGTCAGGTCTCAAGTGAAGGAAAACACATTAGACATAGTTTCATACAAATGAAATCCAGAGGAAATTAAAATGAAAGACTGTGGACAGCAGAGTGAATGCTCTTCTTAAAAGATTTTGATACAAAAAGATCTAGAATTTCTTTATCAATATCAATGTGGACTAGTAGAACTTGTAAAGATTGGGGCCCACATGGCCCTTAAGGTTTTAAAAGTGTGATTAGGGAGATAACTCTCACTGGGTTCCATGACTATCCTGAAGTGAACTCTGTTTTACTGATGAAAAACTGTTTACAGACAGATGGACAGACACCATACCAATGCATTAGGTCTTAAGGTCTCTGACAAATTGAGCTAAAAACACTAGAAAAAACACAAGATTCAGGATTTGATGCTTTGTACAGGATAAAACCATTCCTAAGCAAATGACTTGAAAAAATATACAATTTTTGTCATCTAATTATTCCTAACCAATGTGACATTAATAAATACACAATGCAGAAGTAATTCTTGTCAGAAATCATCCTTGAGTTAATATAGTTCAACTTACTTCCAGAAGTTGATTCTTCCCCACTGATCATTCAGTTCCCAAACCTTTGAAAATCCTCCTACTTCTAAAGTAGCCTAAAAAAGTCATAAATATAAGCAAAAAAATTGTGGTAAAGTGCCAATTAAATTTTAGATTCATATTAATTTTAGAAAGCTTTGTTGTTGAAATCTAAATAATATTTCCATCATGTATGTTATCATCAGATTTTTTTATTAACACAGTTACTGCCAAATAAATAAATAAATAAATATATTTAGCATGATTAAAGACATTGTATATGGGATACCGAATGGAGTTTTGATTGGAAAAACACAGAATTTAATGCACATTTTCACTGTACCTTTGTAACAATAGTTAACAGAGTTCCAAACATAATGATGGCCTGGAATGCATCCACCCACACCACAGCTTTTAGACCACCCTGTAATGTTAAAGCAAGTGTATAAGCAGCTGTCATCACACTTTTAACCCACCCTCTACATGGCAACAAATTCACAGCTATTGAAAAGTTGTCAACACTCTAGAAATGAGCATCATGATTTACAATAACTTAAAGAAAATAGTTTTAGAGGGCCCATATAAATCTATCTATATATATCTATCTTTACATACTGTTATTTATTCTAATTCATCAATCTTCATATTACTAACAGTTTAATATAATACTATAAGTGTCTCCCCTGAACACTACACCGTAATTATTCAGAAAACAGTTCAAAACATGCATAAATTAAAATAGAGTTGTTCCCCAGTGGATTATGTAATAAAATAGGTTGATCATGATATCAGTATTTTTGACCATTGAACATTATAACATTAATTTAAACAGAAGTTCCTTATAAAATGGAATTGATTCAAACATCTACAGTAGCATGTCTAGGGTATGTTAATGGGCAATTTTTGTCCCATCACTGCCCATGAAGGCAAACACTTAAGAAAAAAGATTTAACACAATTTAATTTTGCTTAGACCATCTTCAAAATTTAACACATTTTTCCTTGGAGAGTACAATAACTGAGTTTTAAATATAAATTTAAATTAAATATTTCACCAAAAAAAAAGGGGGGGGGGGGGGCAACAATGCAATGGAGACAGTTTGAAACTCACCATAAAAGTGTAAAATGTACAAACAAAACCTATCAGAAGAAATGAGGCCCACTCAGGAAAACCAGTCACTGTAATGCAAAAATATATATAATAATATATTCTGAACCAAATCAATCACAACAAAATAGCATTATCAAAAAGAAGTTCAAATTTTCATAAAACTTTCAAAGTTAAAGTTACGCAGGTCTTTACTAAATATAGTATGTAAATGAAAGAACACACAGGGAATATATGTAAATTTACAATATTTAAGTAATCACCATACTGGTTAATCTATGGGTAATCTAATCAATTATCACAGTGCCCATCAAATTTATTGAATTGATAAATTATTATTACCATGTATTCTTTTTTTTTTGTTCAGCAAGCAGAACAAATTTCTACATGTCTAAAGCTGGTGATGCTTATAAATTTAGATGTTTTATTTTCTGGTATAAACATTCAATTTTAACACATATATATATATATATATATATATATATATATATATATATATATATATATATATATACGGAATTTCTATGAGCACTGACCTGCACGTAAAGCTGTTGCTGGAGCAAATGATGCAATCCCTGTGTATGTCAACTGAAATATAATCTATGTTTGTGAAAATCATTTAAAATTTAGGCCAAAATAGAAATATTTCAGCTTATGTAATACTTGAAAAACTAATATATTCAACATGTATAAACAGTTCAACTTCGATATCTTGAACATATTAGATATCTCGAATACCATTGATATGTCAAAGTGATTGGGAAGTCCTAACCATCTGTTTCATAAGTATTTTACCCCGGATATCCCTAACCCTTGGATATCTAAAAGTTTTTTCTTGGTTCCATCAAATTTGTGATAAAGAGGTTCGACTACATGTAGTTTTATAAAGTTGATGAACATGCTTAAAAGTTAAAACATGCAACATTTGGAAAACATACAATTTCACATGCCTGACATACCGTATAAGTATAATTTTTAGCGAGATGCAAAGGATGACTGCACTTAACTCCTGTTTTGGGGTCTTTTTCGGTTGCTTCTGTTGCTTTTATATCTAAACCTTATTTCATTTTTGTATGTTTATGAAAGAATCCTTTCAATTTGGAACCAAATTTAAATCTTTATATGATTTTAGACTGTGATACAATAAAATGATTCAATGTTTTTTGTCCTTACTGCTTTCCAAATATAGTGAATTTACACTTACCTGCCCTTGATTGAACATTAGATATGCATGAGAGGTGGAGCTAACATTGTAAGAATGGTCTAAATTAGACTTGATAAATAACTATGACTTTTTTGAAAAAAAGAACATATCACTTTTTCGAATCTCCCTCTCCATTCTGTATGGCACAAATACACTTCTGACAAAGGTTTCAAAACGAAATTAACAATATGAGCACATCAATGTAATTAAAGCAGATTTTATATCGATGCCAGATGACTTAACATGTTCGAACACAATGTCCTAGTTAGCACAAAACATGCTACCTTACAAGTCACGTGACGGAATTTAGTATTCACAAAGTTACCTGAGGTAAGAAATCAAATGGTGAATTATAATATTCAACGTCACAATCCTTGGTTACAACAAAGAGAGCGAATGTAAGAAGAAGCATTTTTTTCTCTTTTTAACTATGAGCACACGTTTGTCTATTAATCTCCTTTTGACACATTATTATTTATGCAAATATACAACTACTGTTAAATGTAGAACAATAGACAAACATGCACTGACTATGTATAAAGTCAGTAAAAAAGTGGGTGTCCTCATTATTGAACGGAGATTCAAGAAATTGTGATGACCCCTGCCTTTGAAAACAGAATCGAACTTCGTAAATACACAGTTTTATTAAACGTAATTACAAAGTTGTAAATTGGATGTTGACCAATCTTGCAATGAAAAGAAAATGCTTGTTTTGAAAGTTTATTTTGTCGCAAATATCGTATGTCCTTAAGTGCAGTCATCCTTTAGCAATTTTATAATGTAAAACAAGAGGCCCATGGGCCACAATGGTCACTTGAGTAACTTTGGTCCCGCTGTTCTTCACCAGATTTTCCCCTTGTATTACGTTTTGTGGGCCTACCCTATCCCTGGGGGTCATGATTTGAACAATTTAGAATCTACACTACCCCTGAATGCTTCCATGTAAGTTTCAGTTTTTCTGGCCCAGTGGTTGTTGAGAAGAAGATTTCTAAAGATTTCCCTATATATTTCAATGTAAAACTTTGATTCCCCATTGTGGCCCCACCCTACCCCCGGGGGTCATGATTTGAACAATTTAGAATCTACACTACCCCTGAATGCTTCCATGTAAGTTTCAGCTTTTCTGGTCCAGTGGTTCTTGAGAAGATTTTTAAAGATTTTCCCTACATACTTAAATGTAAAACTTTGATTCCCCATTATGGCCCCACCCTACCCCCGGGGGTCATGATTTGAACAATTTAGAATCTACATTACCCCAGGATGCCTCCATATAAGTTTCAGCTTTTCTGGCCCAGCGGTTCCTGAGAAGAAGATTTTTTAATGACCTCACCCTATTTTTGGCTTTTCTTGATTATGTCCCCTTGTAAGGGGGCTTGGCCCTTCATTTGAACAATTTAAACTCCCCTTCAGCCAAGGATGCTTTGT